CTCCCACAAGGATCAGGGCAAAACAATAGAGGTAAATATAGGGGAATCTAGTCAAATTTATAGGGATAATATTGTATCAAAAATATGGCAGATAAATTGCATGTTATTTAAACTTACCTGTATACAGAAGTTCTTGTAGTCAACAATGTTTGCATTCTTAACTATGTTTTTAGATGACAACTCTTATTTATACTTCATGGTAAAAGTAAATGAATGCTGGCAGAATGCTGATAGAGAGGTATACATTTGGAAGTGCACAAGTTAAAAGAGACACAAATAAGCTCAGAAAATTGTTACTCAGTTTTAGGGAAAATGCAAAAAGTGTGAGAAACAGCTAAATTGCATGAAAGGATATTCAAAACTTATTATTTGGTGAAGTCATGAATATACAGTTTGAAATATTGTTGGTTTAATCAATTTTTAGAGCAGTTTCAGAAACACTTAGTTTCAAATGTACATCATTTCATCATAGAGGAAAAGTTGAAAAATATTGGGATTGCGATATATATGACTGGTGGGAGGGTTATTCTGACATTTACTGCACACCAATTAAATTTTGGACTTTGGAACAAGCATAGCCATGTGATGTCTTCAACATCAAAATAAATAGACTATAGGAGGAAAACAGATTACGAAATCTTAACAATGTTTGTTTTACGAAATAAAAAACTGACTAGTTTGAAAATTAAGCCTCTTATTAAGACAGCGTTGAACTGCAAGATGACAATTATTCAACCTTTATTTCACAACTGCACGTTAAATAATCAGTCAATGAACATTAGTAATTAATTTTAAAAGGCTGACAAATATAACAATAACAAATGAAGATATTTGTAACCACGATGTAGAGAAAACAATTTAATTTAATAGCTACCTTGGTTAAGCAGAAATGTCTGAAGACCTTTATTGAAAATAAAGTATGATGAATATAGAAGAAAACTGTTATAGCTTTCACATTCAGTTTGAGCATCAAACCATGTTGCCTGGTCACTACCCATTCGTACACAATGAGGTATGTGGTTTTTATCAGCTTGATCCAGAAGCACAAAACCAAGTGGACATCTTGACCCATACGAGACACCTATGTAATGATCAATTAAATAAAGTAATTCTAATTAAAAGAAAACACTAATTACATTTGAAATATAAAAAATGTCATGCAATTGTAAAAGATTGTTTTGTAAAAACTTCCATATCTGCACTTCAATAAATATAATAAAAACAACCAGTCTAATTTATATATATATAAACACAATGAATGTATACAGGATTCAGTAATCCTATAACACATAAACTAACAAGTGTAAGGAAGTCTTACCAACTTAAATACTGAAATGTAATAGCAATAATAATAAGCTAGTAATATAAACAATACCTTCTTTCACCGTATTTTCAAAATTGAGTTGTAATGTGATATTTTTGTTGTTTTTTACTCACCACGATTAATTTACCCACATTTATATATATTTTGAAGAATATGTAGAAATGATGCTACAAAAGTACTAAGCTGATTAATCATAATGCAACTATACAGAAATGATTCAAAGATTAATATTTTCAATATATATGAGTGCTTGTGAGCAGGCTTGACGACAGGGGGAGGGGGGCAACTGCCTAGGGGCCCGGGCGAATAAAACCTGGTTATGCCGTAAAGCCCGCAAAGCATCTTTAGGCTATATATTCATCTAATGATAAAACCATAGTTTTTGGCTTTTCTTTGCATACAAACACTTGATACATTATGAACGACTGAAATAATAATTTGAGTAATAATTAATATGCATTTGTTACTTTATAGATTTAATAGATTAAATTAAACCTAATCCTTTGATATCTCTCTGCATAGAAAGTATTGTTAATGGAATTGTTTGATATGCTGTGAGTTAGGAGGGATCTGATTGAGGTGTTTAAGATTGTAAAGGTAATTGATAGTGTTAATGCATCACCTTTTTTTTTCATATTTAACAGTGAGAATAGTAGAACTAGGGGACACAAATATAAATTTTGGCAAGGTAGGAGTCATCTTCAGCTAAAACAGTTTCATTTTTCTAACAGGGTGGTTGGCCTTTGGAATGGGTTGCCTTTGGATGTTGTAGAGGCAGTGCATTTAAGAAAAAGCTTGATAAGTATATGAATGATAAGGGCTGGCTTAAAATTTTTTAAATTTATTAATTAATAGTTTTAGTTTAGTTTAGAGAACAGGACAGCTGAGTTGGACCAATAGGTCCCATGTTGTCCCAAAACATTATGTTATGTTAAGGTAGAAAGTAACATTCATGTGATAGTTTCATACCAATGTTTGATGGTGCCACCAACCCAACCCATTAGTTCACTTTCTTAGTCAATTGGGAAATTGACAACCCTCTTTGAGTTGGCACCCACTGCAAATACACCACTTGCACTACCCACAGTACGACCCTGCCATATGGTGAAACTTTGTAAATCCCATATAAGCTAGTACTAAACTTATAACTGGAACAAGGTCCCTATGGAAAGACATTGTAAATATTAGTAGATTCTAATGCTCAAAGGTAAGGACTGGTATTGCCTAATCTGAGTAAATTAAGTGCAATTATGTGTGACTATGTTTGATTACGCAGTGGAAAATTGGAAAATGATATTCAAGGGTAAGCAGTTTAAAGAAAGAGAATTCAGAAAAAGGGGGATAGTATGTTGTTCCATAAAAGTAAGTACACACACTGTCTTTGTATTGAATGTGATATTAATAAAGATTGTTTATTTCATATATTATTTTATGTCCAGTCTGTTTTATTTCATTTATTCTAATGACTCAGGAATTTGTCATTATTAAATAATATATATCCTAATCGAACCTCTTGTTATTAAGTGGACCTATCTCCTTTCTCTTGAATTTTATCTATACAGAGGTGAAATTCTGCCAGTACTTTTGTTTTAAGATAGTACTAATACTAGGACTTATTTGAGCTGCTTTATCATGTCTATGTTCACACATAGACTTTTTTCTTTTTCAAAAACAGGTCCACTTTACCCAGCTGAGTAGCCTACTTCTTTTTTTAGAATTTCACCCCTGTACTTCTATATATGTATATATACTCTATTTGTAGGGGAGGAGAGGTTGAATTTGGTTTAAATGAGTAGTAAAATGCAATATGACTCATAAAATAAAAATAACCACAACTCATCCCACCAGTTATGGAGCTATAGTGTTGTAGTTGTCTGAATTAAGAACTAAGCCTTTTATTTTGAAGTGAGTATCCTACTGCACTTATTAGTCTAACTATAGATTTGAAAGTTTAAATCCTTAGATATCTCATGATAAATATGTATATATATATATATACATACAAGTTAACATAACATAATGTTTTGGGACAACATGGGACCTTCTGGTCCATCTAGACCATCCTATCTAATAAATTACACTACACACTAAAATTAACTACACATACAACATCTCAAGGTAACCCATTCCAAAGGCCAGCCACCCTGTTAGAAAAATAAAGCTGTCTTAGCTGAAAATGACTCCTACCCTGCCAAAATATATATTTGTGTCCCCTAGTCCTACCACTCTCATCAATAAACACAGAAAAGATGAGGCTATAACTATCAATTGCCTTTACAATCTTAAACATCTCAATCACATCTTCTCTAACTCTTCTTTTTTTTCAAGAAAAATCATGTTCAGAGGTCTTAACCTATCCTCATATAACAACCTATATGTCCTAGGTATCACCCTAATAGCCCTTTTCTGAACCTTTTTCAACAATTCAATGTCCCTTCTAAGGTAAGGAGCCAAAGACTGAACACAGAACTCCAAATGTGGCTAACCAATGACATATACAATGATATTATAACCTCTTTAAGCTTGTATTCAATATTTCTGTAGATACAACCAAAACTCCTGTTTGCCCTGCCATTAGCAACAGCACATTACTTGGATGGCTTTAGAGACTGATTGACTATTACACCAAGACCCCTTTCCTTCATAACACTATTAAGGTTATTCCCATCCAAATTATACTTATAATTCAAATTATAATAACCCACATGCATTATCTTGAATCAGAACACCAAGACGTTTTTCTACCATAACACTGTTAAGGTTATTCCCATCAAAATTGTACTCATAATTCAAATTATAATATCACATAGGCATTACCTATAATTAAAAGCCATCTGTCATTTATTTGCCCAACTCACCAAAGGATCTAACTCCTTTTATAAAGTGGTAACATCTTCCTCACAGTCAACAACACCCCAAAAATTTAATGTCATCAGCAAATTTGAATAATTTATTGACCATTCCTTCATCTATGACATTAATGTAAATTAAAAATAGTAAAATTTCTAAGTTCTAACACTGAGTCCTGGGGTACCCCACTTGTGATATTAATTCAGTTTGACTGAACTCCATTTATAACAACCTTCTGCTTTCAGTTTTCTATCAAATGAGCCAACCTACCCTCCACACCTACAGAGATAACTTTTTAACAAGACTTTTATGTGGCACCATGACAAATGCTTTCCAAAAATCCAAATGCACCAAATCCACATCCATACCCTCATCTACATAAGTAGTAGCCTCTTCAAAGAATGCCAAAAGATTAGTGAGGCAAGATTTTCACATAGTGAAACTATGCCAACTTTCCAGTAAATTTTAAACTTTGTTAAATGACTTTTAAAAGCATCTTTTATCAGACTCTCAAAAACATTCCCCACCACTGATGTAAGACTAATAGGCCTATAATTTTATTGCCTCCCCTGAAAAGCAGAGTAACATTAGCTAACTTCAAATCTTCTGGTACCTGCTCATTATTCAAGAACTTTGAAAAAAATAGTAGCAAGTGTCTCACATATTCAATCCTTGACCTTTTTAAAAATCCTTGGGTATATATAATCTTGCTCAAAATCTTTATCATTCTTTAAACTTCCCAAGTTTTTTCTTGGCAAGCTCAAAATGAATATGATTATCTTTTTTAATCTTGCTTCCATCTAGCAAAAATTCAGGATGAGGAATATTACTTAAATCTTCCTCTGTAAAAACTGAAGAAAACTAGAATTTAATAACTCAGTCATCCTATAATCATCAAATATTAGCCTTCCTGTATCATCCCTCAAAAGCCCTACACTCCCATCCTAATATTTTACTTACCCTTAATGTATTTGAAGATATTCTTACTATTAATTTTTACATCTTAGCCAACCTTTTTTCATATACTTTTAATGATTTCCAAATTTCCCATTTGACCAACTCTCTTGATCTTTTACAATCTTCTAACAGGTAAAATTGTTGTTGTTTGTAATATTGTAATGATTCTTTACTAAAAAAACCTGACAGCAACCGAGATCCAATTTTCTGACTGAACAATATAATCTTGACCAAAAAAAGTAATGAAAAAGAACATTATTTAGATAGAATGTCAGACTGATTTACATACAGTCATAGCAGACGTTTCTTTGGTTCAAAAACTTAAGTAATGCATTTCATTTTTTATGTTACTAAAATTTATCATATTGTAACAAATTGTATTCTCTGGAGATTTTATGCTAAAAAAAAATTGAACGTATCGTTACTTTGTAGATTTAAGAGAAATAGTGATTAAAGACCACTCTCCATGTTAAGTGTATAAAGATACTAAAGTATGGATTAAATTTCATAAATTTGTAATGGTGGTTTGATTTCTTGTTTCAGTACTATTTATAGCAAGATCTCTACTTCATTTTAAAATTCATAGTTTTTAATTGTTTGTTTACTTTTTATGTTACAGTTGTATAAAACTCTCTGTCGCGTGTCTATCCATCGATATGTAGCGCCATCCATTGGGTTGAAAAGATATTTAAGTACGTGTAAGTTTCCTATTTATATTATACCTGTATGTATATATGGATTTTTATCGGTAGGGTAAAAGCGGAAGACCACCATCGAATCAAATACTGTGTAAGAATATTGGACCAAATGGCTTAGTTGTTTTTGTTGTAGGTTCTCTGACGTCATCGGTCAGTTAGCCGAAATAGTCGTTGTTTTAGAATTTTTCAAAATCTTGTAGCAGAGAGATCTTAAACCTTTTGCCACTGTAAATCAAGGTACAATGTTGCTGTTTTTTTTTGTTGTTATGTGTATATGTATCCTAATGGCTTTTTGATGGAAAAGGTTTTTATAAGGTGATATTCGGGAAAGCGCTTTTTTCGGTCGCCATTTTTTCCCTTGTCGATCCTTGTACAGTGCTAACTGTACTTAATGTTAACATTTAACAGAAATTTCCTCGATTGATAACAAATGCTAAATGATTAGTTTAAAGAAGTACTAACTCTAACTGAATAACTGTACTCGATCAACAACTATTTGATCGTTCAAATAATGAACTGTAACTTATCATTAATGACGTAACTAATTGCTTACTCGCATTCATAACTGATGTATCAATTAGTTCGATGATATTACACTCTTCACGTTATCCGAACTTCATGGATATTCTATGACTTATTTGATCTTAACTTCATGCGCTCTTTAGCTAACATTAAATTAAACTTTAATTAAAACACTGAAAATACAGTTTACAACATTATCAATGACCTAGTACTCACATCTAGAATTGATTTAGTGTAACATGAAGTAAGAAAGAGAAGCTTATCGGCTGCGTATGTATTGTTTTTAGTGTAAGTAACTCTGCTAACAAAGGCCGTAATAATTAGATTGTTCTAAATTTGATAATTTTAGACACAACTTTTTAAGTTTCTATACCGCAATGCTACTCTCGATGTACCACTATGAAAATGTGAACTGCTGTCTCTAAGTAAACATAAAAGGGTTTTTATTGAGATATGTTTTTCAAGTTTATTGTTTTACTCAAATTTTAGCCACATACATGCCTTATGTATAAGTAGTTGAAACTGCATTGCGGTGACAAAATATATTTAAGCAAAATTGCGACATTATATCGGGAGAGGTAAAATTATAATGTCCCATATATTCGGACATTTCAAAAATCTTCCTTCACGAGTCCGAGCATGTTAAATGAGAACGATGGACAGAGGAGAGAATGAAAACAGCTGTCATTGGTTTTAACACTAAACACAACCTTAGTTATATGATACGGTTTTTCCCAACATGGCCAGGTGGTTAGGGCGCTCAACTCGCAATCTGTGGGTCGCAGGTTCGAATTCCCGTCACTCCAAACATGATCGCCCTTTCAGCCGGGGGGGGGGGGCGTTATAATGTGACGGTCAATCCCAGTGTTTGTTGGTAAAAGAGTAGCCCAAGAGTTAGAGGAGGGTGGTGATGACTAGCTGCCTTCCCTCTAGTCTTACACTGCTAAATTAGGGACGGCTAGCGTAGATAGCTCTCGTGTAGCTTTGCGCGAAATCCATAACAAACATACGGTTTTAAGTTTGTTTGTTTGTTATTAATAAAGCACAAAGCTACACAATGGGCTCTGCCCACCATGAGTATCGAAACCCGGATTCTAGCGTCGTAAGTCCGCAGACATACCGCTGTGCCACTGGGGGGTACGGTTTTAAGACCGTATGTTATAACTTCAATATGTTATAAAACTTATATTTAACTCTTAAAATCATGATAATCATTTTGGTGGCAGCTTTGAACAAAAGAAAATCCGCTAGAATAGTATCTCATATATAAAACTTTACACACGTTTAAGGTTTGATCTCTTAATTCGACATACGTAATGAAACTTCCAAAATGTTAGTTCAGTGTTGGTGAAAAGTTTTCTAAAAATGAATCTAGTTTTGCTCTTTGCCATCCCATTTTGACTTTCATTTGCGCTGTAAGAATAGTTTTAAAGCAGTAGTAGATAGGCGTGTTGAAAAAAATCGTAGAAATAGGAGACAAGACAATATGTTTAAAGCTATCAGTTGGGATATAAGTTTTTCTTTCTGTTATTGCTATCGAACTATATATATATAATTTAATTCTAGCTATGCCATTATTTACATTTTCTCAACTTTCACATTCACTGTTTCATCATCTTTCAAGCACAGTTAAATGGCAAGATATATTGAGAAAACCGCGGTAACCTAACAAATTTTTTATAGCGTTTCGGACTTAAAATTCTGCTAACCTTTATTTTGTATTTTGACATCTTTTTCACCTGATATTTATACACCTTTCCTTTGATTCTGGCCGAAGCCTTAAGGATCATGAACTTTGTCCAAAAAGACTGTCAAATACCAATTACCCACCCCTCCCTCTCTGCCCCAACCTCATTGGCTCAGCGGTAAGTCGTAGGCTTATGTCGTTAAAAATCAAGTTTCGATGGGCAGAGCACTGATAAGCTATTGTGTAGCTTTGCGCTTAGCAACAACCAAACAAAAGCACCTATAACAGACAAATTATTTAATGTTTTCTTGAACTAATTAATTAAAATTACTTACAATCAACCTGGACAAACACGAGGTCCTATAAGGAGATAAATTTTTAAAATCAGCCGTTATGTCGAGAAATAGAAATAAAGATTAATTCAGAATTCATTCACGGAAATAACAACTTATGATTAATTTAGTCGAATGGTAACGACTTTGATGTGTGTACTTCCGCACCCAAATCTGCATGTAAATAAATAACGAAAACAACAACAAAGAGTTCTGTACAAGAAATCATCGAAAGTACAGGACTTACACAAAATTAACCTTTAACCATTGCTAGATTTTTGTCTAAGAGCAGGTGCTATTTAAACATGACTAACTTTTAGCTTTTACATTTATTTTTTATAAATTATACCTTTATAAGTGATATTATCTGATAAAATAACACTTAAAATATAAATATTCCACATGTTCAAGTGTTATATCGCTATTTATCACACCATAAGTTAACCTTTATAATATATTTTTATCAAATTTTATTTCTATGCTTAGTATTTATATAGTATTTGTATAGTTGTAGCCTTTATCCTTAAATCAATAATATCATCTAAAGAATTTCTAACTTGGTGGCTAGAAAAACACCAGAATACCAGTGTTAACTGAAGCCATTCGTACAAACTGGAAAGGCATTGCACATCGTAAACAAATAATTTTACACAGTTTATAATTTTTTGTTTGTGTCAGCTAACTCAATCTCGAGTTAGAAAAAAAAAAAAAAAAAAAACATTTGGACTTTACTTTTTTTTTTTTTCGCGTCTCTTAATTTTTTAAAAAGATTTTTTTTCCTGAGAAAATGACGTCATTT